TAACATGATAATGTACTAGATTATATTTTATCATTCTAAACATTTTTTTACATATTCATGTTTTTGCTGAAATAAAGAACACTTATTCTATAATATTTTTATTCATGTATCGGCCATTTTTAAATTTAATAACTTTATTAATATATGGATCTTATTACAATCTTAAAAAATAAAAATTTGTTAAATTTATTTAAAAATTTGTTTAAATTTTTGAATAAAGATTTCAATAATACAATACTTTAAGAAAATATAAAAGAAATTTTTACTCATGAAAGTAAATTATTTTTAAATTATTTTTAATTTTATTTCTCGCGCCTATACATATTAACCGCAAAATGCTATTATATGTTTTTTTGTTTTATTAAAATTAAAAGTTAATTATGTAATATAAAAGAAGTACAAATACATACATCCTGTATCTTTAAGTCTTTGGATAGTGTTTGATAATATGCGTACACATCCTAGGAACCCTCCATTTTGTTTCTTATGAAATTTTCTATAATTCCACACTGATATGGTAATTCCATCGTTCTTTCCGATATATCTGCATAAAGAGATAATAGTGATTCCTTTTCTTATGCACTCACACAAAATGTTTTCATACTCGGTTTAAAAATACTCACAAATCATAGTGTTGATTCCATTTGGGATCAAGGGTAGCTTTACAAGTATCTGTACTATGACACTGTCCAGAACCTTCAACAGTTATTTTAGCAAAAGGGTCGGGTAAACCTAAAAAAATCATTATTTTTAAATCTTTAATTTATATTCCTACTCTTATTCATTGTGAAAAGCAATACTCACGAAATAAATCCTTTCTAGCGAGATTGCGGGCACATAAAACTAAAACATATAGAACATTATGTAATTGTGTACTTTTGTAACATGCGCAAACTAATATCATGATAAAGCACTTCTAATATTATTAGTTTTCCATCATGCACAAATTAGTAACGATATCTACATGTTATTTAATAAATTAATCATATATTATTTTAAAGTTTTATATTATTAATTAATTATTAATATGTTTTAAATTAAAATTATTTGATAATATGTGCAATTTAATCATAATAAAACATAAATGTGTGCGAATAATCTAACTTCACTATCTTCTGCTTGTATCCATTCCATATTTGTTCTATTTAATTATATTTCTTGAATTATAAATATAAATAATATAATTAATCGCACAATCATGTATTTCTACTATTATAACGAAATCGATTCGAGTACAGTGTTATAATTTACGTTAAATTGTTAATTATCATTAACAATAGTTTAAAGAGACTAATTAGAAAATAATCTTATAAGTTAATTCAAAAATTAGTAAAAAAATTCACATTAGCCATGAAAAAAACAAGTTTTCTTAAGGAAATTTTGTAAGGCAAAGATATATGAAATAATATATCCGTCTTAAATTTGTATTAAATCCTCGTTCTCGTCGATCCCCCGGAGAGTACTCGCAGGAAGGGGTCTCCCATTAGCCTTGTTGCCGAGGAAAATTAGCGCAATCGAAGGGCAAAGGAGAAGTCACGACGGAAGTCGTGTCCTTTGCCCAGGGCATGCATTGCACCTACGAGACCTCCCGGGAACCAAGCGGACGTGTGATTTGACGTTTCGCGTCGCCCGTCAGGAACCCCAACCGCCCGGGAATCGAGGAAACGAGGGCGGCGCGTGGTGCCAGGGCACGTTGGATAACGCAAAACAAAAACAGGCCGTGCGTGGGCAGGTCGTCGTGCGTGCGGATCGCGGCTCGCGTCGGCCCGACTTTCACGCAAGACGAGACGCACGGACGCCCGAGGACGAGACGGCGCCGCCGCACTCACTCGTCAGACGGATCTTCATGGCCCCGTTCCTCCTGCTACCGCTCGGGTTCGACATCTTGCACGCACATTTAACGCACCGCACCGCGCATCGGCGCTGTAATTGACAAATAAAATGCGGACTGCTCTCTCTCCTGCGAAGAGAATGCGCGACGGCGACGGTGTTCGCTGCTCGCCCGCACCATGCACATACATACACATGGACACACACACACACACACACACACACACACACACACACACACACACACACACACACACACACACACACACACACACACACACACACACACACATACACGCGCGTATGTACGAACGCGAGTGAGAACGGTCTCTTGTCGAACGTACTATCGACTTGAAACCGCCGGTCGATTCTTAGAGCGAATCTTGCACGCGATCTCGAAAACTCTCCCGAGTTCGTGCAACGATTCACATAACGTAAGATTTACTATTTTTGTCGTAGATATAAATAAATGACGGAATGTGTGTAAGATAAGTTTTTTAGAGGAGAACGAAATTAAACGAAGAAGAAAGGGAGGGAGAAATGTTCATAGCAAATTTAATCGACTACATCACTTCTAACTGCTTTATTTCGATGTATCGAATGAAGCGATTGTACCTGTTTCTTGTGTCGCCATTGCGTGACGCGCGCGTTTACATTTAGCTGAGTTAAAGAGTTAAATTGAATATTTACTAGTAATCGAGAATAGAAAAACAAACATATTTTATTTTCTCATATTAAATATTTTAAATTCTCGTTTCTACATTAAAAATCTTTTTCTATTTTAAAAACATCAATTAAATTTAATTATTCCAATATTTAATAAAAAAAACTTTATATATGTATATATAAATTAATATGCTTATATATACAAGAATAATTTAAACGTATTCTAATTAATTTAATTAGTATTTAATTAACTCAGATAAAAATTTATTAGAATTTCAAATTTATTGGAGAATTTTTAATCTAATTTTTCTAATCTAAATTGTTATAATCTAACTTTTTTTTTATTTGTTAAATTTCAAAACATTAATTATTTTATTTAAATATAAAACATTCACATATAAACTGTTAATTGTCAATTAAGTCAATTGGAGTTGAAATTATGCTAAGACTATTTTTCCAAGAGCGCTGTTCTCGAACAAAAGTTGCGTTATATAAAACTTTCATTGCTGTATTATATAATGTTGCGTCTATTTTGTACAACGCGATAACAAGCAAATCACTTGCAAAAATTTTACATTCTTTAATAAACGAATGAAAAAAGAGAGCTTGAAAGGAATGCGGATACTGAGATGATGCAAAAACATTATCTATCGTTTCGTAATTTTTCTTTATTATTGAAGTCATAGCGTAAAAATATATAAATCAAGGATAAATATTTCGCAAATACTGAAAGAATGGCAAATATAATGAATTTGTTCAGTGTCGAGATACATTTCAAATGATATCGTATATAAAAATTTTCTATTGTTTTCTTATCTTCTTGTTGTCGCTGTTTGTCACACCTTAGAATAACTTAACTTTTATGAGTGTGATATCAGTATATTATTTATGATTATGATACTAATTGGCCTGCTTCTACAAAGGGACTGCTTCTTATTAATATTAACATACATATATAGATATAATATGTAAGTATATATCATTATTATATATAGATATAATATGCAAGTATGTATCATTATTATATGACCCCTGCACATTTTTGTACTATCATCGATTAGATATTGTCGCGAAGTCATATTTATACTGAAAAGCGTAATTTATACCAGAAATTTGCCTTTATCAATAAGATACAATCGGACTTGCAAATATTTATCTTCATTAAATTTTCAAAAATTTTAAAATAAAAATTTTCCAACAAGTTAATAAGTTAAAGAAATGGATCGGTCTCGATAAAATGGACACTTTGCGAGAAGTACAAGATAAACGGCGCAAGTCGTGAGTTTCACAAAGCTTCGGAACTCGTGCTTCGCACAATTCCGATAAAGCAGCGGAACTTCGCGACATCATGTATGATTTGTGTTTGCCCACATTTGGCTACCCGGTTGTAAAGAAAGTTCCCTTTGGGAAACTCTTTGGCAGTTTCCAATCTCTTACAGATTAGAAAAAAATTTCCGTCAATTGCGGAATGTGATTAACACCGTTTGTCGGCCGTGCAGTCCCTCGATGTACTTAAAAGGCGATTCAGATCTCAGTTCTCTCCCCGAAATGTGAGGAATGCGTCCACGAGGAAAATGGCACCCTCGATAATACTGAGAGAACCCTTGGCCAAGCCGGTATCGCGAAGTGTTGACTTGTATGTCAGCTTGTGGAAATGATCGATATTCAGCGAACCCGCAGCGATGAACAAGGCGCATCCAACGAGTGAAAAGAAGAGATCCTAAGAGATAAGAAAACGCATTTAATGAAAATCTATATCTAGATCTAGCTATAGTATAACACTTTGGTTATTATCACCTATAACACTTTGGTTATTATCACCTAATGTATAAATATATGAATAAAAAAATTTTATTCATTTAGCTTAATTTAATAGATAATTATAATTAATAATTAGAAATCAATTCGAGTTAATTTATTAAACTCCTTTCATTTGTAAATTATTATATTAATTACTTTGTAATTACTTTGTTATATAAATTTATACACATAAATTAGGAACTAATGTATCAAATTATAGTAATTAAGTAAATTATAGTAATCAAATTATAGTATAAATTAAGAATTAAATATATCTTTTTAAATTTTTATAGCTCTCTTTAAATATTCTGCTTTTGAGTCTCAAGTTTTCTATATATTTATACATAATTCTATGCTGCGATTTCTCTATCTAGTGTAAAAGATATATTTTGCAATATTACATACCACGCGACGGTTCACCGGTGTTCCCATCACGCTACCAATAAATAAGCCGACCAAAATAATCAGATATCCTCCAAAGGTGCCCATGGTTACCATCGCGGTGTGTTGATCTCCCACATTGAAGGAATTATAGTGCAATCCAATAAGGATGCACACCAAGAGCTATGATAAAAAATGGACATTGAATAGACAAAAATTCATTCATAAATTTTCTTAAAATATCTCCTTGCTTTTTCTTTATCGTCACCAAAAATTTCATCTTTTGCTTTTACCATTTGCATACTTTTCACTTTTATAACAACTTTTTTTTGTTATAAAAGTGAAGATACAGATATTGCCCATAAAAGGGGGTCGACTTGAAGGGAAAGTATATTGATTCTATTTCGGTCATAAATAAAATATTGCCCCAGTTGACAACTTTTTACTTCTATACAACAGGTTGTAAATCTAAACATATATTGGTATAGTTCATCGGATCATTAACACAGTTATAAAAATAGTATCTACTTCGAACGTATTGTTAACCGTGATGGATAAAAGACATTCATGATTAATAACAATTCAAATTTTAAAATGAATTTAATCAAAAGATTTTCAGAAATCATGGAATTCATGGAGTGTTTATATCATAAAAATAATAAGTATGTATAAATTTAAATTTTTCATTTAGTAAAAAAGAATCAATTTTCTATAATATAAAATATTATAGAAACTTTTTTATTATTATGATACACAATATTTTCTTAAAATTATAATGATATATAAAATTAAATAATAATGTAAAATATTGCTAACAAATTTATGTATAATAGCGACTAAAATTAAAAAATGTAAGCAAAAAAACGTAGAATAAATCTATTTCATGTTTTATTTCGTAATTACATAATTTTTATCTCGAAGTCATCCATGGCGTCAACATTAAAATTGCATCGGTCAACCTTGATGCGATGAACGTATTCGCCTGACGCCAAATGTATCTCAAAGAATCCTGGGCTTGGTCACCCATATGTATACTGATAAGTATGCGGTACGTCGCATTTACTACACAATACTCGTCGCTAAGGAATGCTATGATGTGGTATTAATACATATTAGCAATATAAATATATATTCCAATGATGTGTAGAGGAAATGGCGCGATAAATTCGATAAATTTCAGTATTAATTCATATTTATATGATATTTTTTTAATTTTATGCACAAGTATTATTGTTATTATTCGTATTTATTTAACATAATATATTCATTTAATATACACTAATAATATTTATTAATTATTTTTAACTACACTTTATGAATAAAGCGTATTTTACGTCAATTTGTCAGCAAATCATTAAAATATTTAACTGAAAAATTATAAAATAATTTTGCATCGTTAGGAAGACTTTAATCAAAAATTAAACAAAAGAAAACAAGTAAAATTAGGTATAGTTAAAATATCACAAGCGTTGAGAATCATCGTTAATTTGTAAACAAAGCTAGATAAATATTTAATAAGATAAATATAATTGATTAATAAGATAATTATTTTACAGAACAGCTGTTTCTAAAAACTTGGTTGATTTTGATAAATAATTATAATAAGCTTTTTATCAAATGGCGCATTCACGCTTTCGATATACATGTTACACGTTTCGTTAAATATTAATGTTATAATTGTATATTAATGTTATATCAATATCAATAAATGCAAAATAAAATGTATAATATTTTATTTGCAATTATTAAAATTTAATATCAAACTATTTTCTATCACTTAAAGATGCAATAGAAACATTATACAAAAGACACGGGATTCTCACGGCACTCATCCTTAATTTCAAAGAATCCTAACGGAAGTTCTCGTACCGATCGGCTTCCGGATGACTTGAAGCGAATCGTAACAAGAGAAGAGAGAAAACGCTCTTGTGCGATAATCAACGCCGATTATGTCACTCTCCATTCTCGTCGGCTTACGATTCGTGAAAGATATGCAGCGCGGAATGTCGCACGACTAACAATACCTCGACTTTGAAATATGCGCCGATTTTCTCGAGAAAACGCGATTCAAGTCGAATGGACGCAAGCAACGCGAGAAATTGAATCAATCGATCAGAAGAAACAGCGCAGTGATGTTAAAAATAAATTCGAGGGCATGATAGAGTTCCTGAAGGGGTACGACGCGACCTCGAAGATAGTGTTTCTCTGGAGGCTGGAAATATATATACGCAAGGAACGCTGATGGTTTTATGACGGTTTTATGTCAAACTTGCACTTTCTTGAAAATCTGATTTTACGCAATTTAACGTAAATGCTAAGAATAGAAGAGCTCTTCTTCTAGAAGAGAACAATCTATTCTTGTGATTTGGAAATGATATAAGTACGCGTTTCCGATTATGTTAATGAATATGTTAATGAATATGTAATATGACATCATACGGTTGAACGTTGAAAAAGAAATCTGATTTATCACATTCATAATTTTTTTTTTGTCTTATGATGCATACATATACAATCTATGTTAAGATAATTATATAATAACATTTGTACAATTCATCAAAGCGATCGTATTGATGTGTATTAGCTTATATTTCTTCATAAAAATAAAATATTATTACATTTTCGAAGTTAAAACTTTAAGCCAACGACGTCATAACAAATGATTAAAGAGGAGTAATATTTAAATAATTTATTAATGCTTACCAATTCAAGGAATTTTATGATTGACAACCTCGTAATGGTAGCCATTTTTCTGATCTGTAAATAGGAAAGAAACAATTAGAGAAATTAATTAATTAGGTGTGTTATTTAATCACGCGTTTAAACAAGCAAAAATGATAAATCTTGTAATTTTCTCGTATCTTGAATTATAAAATTACGATTACGTGTCCATTGACCGAAAATGCGCCGTACAAATGCAATTACAATGACTATAAGCATGGAATGTAAGTCGAATGAAAGCGTAATAAATAGTAAAGAGGAATGGAGACACAGCAATCGATATAGTCTTATTACAGTCGTATAAATGAAACTGGAAATGTGTAGTATTAAAGTAATATATTTTCTATCTAAGAAGGCATAAACATATTGTAAAATAATAATGCACCGTCTGAGAAGAGAAGTGACTAATGCATAGTGATAAGATTCAGTTTGATAAACTTCTGCGTAGTGCAATTAGACTTTGACTGCATTAATTTATGTACATAGCAAAACAGATTAAAAAAAATTTTAATGTAGTGTAAAATTATTACACAGATCTAGATTAAATTCTTTTTCTCTCTTATATCTAACTGCTAAATTAAATATCTAGCATTTATCTCTTATAAAAATATCCTAATTAAAATGCGTTAAAATACTACATATATAAATAAAAATTCTTTCTATAATTAATAATATTGAAATATGATTTTATATTTTATTATAAGGCGAAAGATGCACACTATAACAAATTTGTGTCTGTACAGTTTGCAATGACATGTTGCGATTGCGATGACCTTAATATATCATCGCAGCATTTATTACTATTTTAATGACTGTGAGTCTAAATTCAACTCTTTGATCATTTCCGCAGAAATTTCTTTCCGCAGAAATTAGTTTGCTCTATTTATATATATTTTATTTGCTTTTTCACATAGAAATTATTTGTGGCTAATTTTGCGACGTTATTTCTTCAGGTGATGAAAATATTATACAACGTGGAATATATATATATATATAAATAAAAATTATTTCATTAGTAATATATCTTAAACATATTAAAAGCTATCGCATTGGAAATAAAAAACTGAAGCACCAAAATCACCAATCATTGTGTTATATTTTAATATATTGGGCAAGTCTCAAGACAGGCATCATAAGTGAAAAGTTTATGAAGTATTGAACTTCGAAATTACGAAATTCAAAATTCCATAAACTTTTACAATGAAATCAAAATTAATATATGGAAATGTACTTATAATATAATCAATGTGAGCCGAATGACAAGTTTCAAAGAACACATCAGAGAAAGCATTAGAAGAGATCTATCTAATAATTCTTTTTATTGAATTTATATTTATTTATAAATTTGGAACAATTGATTATATCGCAAACTACATACTATTATTTTTAACAGACTTAAAACGCAGCTCAAAGTTATAGCCAAGAATTTATTCTAACGAAAATGAATTCATGAAGTCGATTAACTCCCTATAGAAAATTTTTATTGCAAAAAATATTATCTCAGCCAATTATTCCGAATTTATAGATAAAAAAATTCATTAAAAAGGATTATTAGACATTTAAGATTTTAGTCCACCGAATATAATGCTCTCTCTGATTTATAATATTAACTATATATTAATAACAATCATAATCTGCAATTCCTAATAGAAACAGAAATAATTATTCTGAGACATCATCGATTACATAGGTAAATATTATGCGTGCTTAATTGCACTGAATCAAACTTTACGTCATGCCTTGTTGGATGACTTGAGCGGGTCGGCACGTACGATGACCATGACATACCCAAGATAGATAGAATGCAACGAAACTAGTAAAAAATAGTGCGATGTGTGTCCTGCATGTTCATATCGTTGAGCAAGAAATGTTTATCAGTCAATACATCAAACATTTATAATGAAAGTTTTAATCGCAGTTATTTGAGTCATCAAAGTGACATTGATATAGCATGTGTCAGTAAATCATTTTTAATCACGTTAAAAAAATGTTGTCTCAGCAGAACATTATTATATGCTAAAGAATAAATATGCCAGATATATTTCGTCGAATTTTTTTGTAATTGCACTAATCTTGTATATAAATATTTAAATGCATTAGCAAATATTTTTAAGTGTTTATCTTATTTAATTTTAAAAGATATAAAATGTAAAATATATTTTAAAAATACGAATTATTTAGATTGTTTATCTTCTACAATATATAATTTATAATTATGCCGAATATCTGATACGTATAACGAAATTTCATTGTTATTCTCTATAATCTGTGATTTTAAAGGAGTACACGACATAAATTAAATGTCTAGAGATAAATCGCGGTCGAATAACGCTTAAAAAGAAGGAATGCATTTGTACTGAAAGGAAGACACTTCACGTTACATACCATTGCCTTGACTTCGTTTTTATAATTTTTTTTAAACTTT